CTGTTTCTTGAATGAGTGTTCGTTGAGTCGTACCAAGGAACTTGAAAATTAAACATCCCGTGCACGTATTTATCCTTTTCGACAAAGTTTGTAAAAGGGAGCTGCAAAATTGAGACATACAAAAATATCAACAATATAAATGTGTAACGTAGTTCACTTCAAGTTTTCAACACAGAATAAGGACGCACCTCATCGTGACAATGATGCAGGTCTTGTATAATTTGTAAACAACCGCTGTGCAGGCGAGGAACTAATGACAGAAGGATAACTTGAGAAAGTTCTTTCATAAGCGGTGTTGCAAGGATTGATGATTCCAGATGAATTTTTTTTTGGAAATTAGCTTAGCCACCAGGCATTCAAAGACCATGCGTTATGTAAGGAAAAACGAAATGTCAGGTCATGTGAGCAAGAACCAGGAGAATGAGGGGGAGGGGGGTGGAGTGGAGGAGGCTTTGAGTCAGGATCACATGGTTTTCAGGGATAACAGAGAATGATCAGTCTTCGTCAACAGCGTATAAACAGGTGACCATGAAAAAATCGACTGCAAATGAGGGAGTGGAGGATTTTTAAAATGCCAGCGGTAGTAAGACATTAGCGGTCAATTAGCAGATCAAATGGATTGGGGTGGGGTGGGCTGGGAGAAGGTAATATGATCTCCATACGTTGTCATCTCTCGATATGCTTGACCTGGTTTGATGATAAATAATAATAACCAAAGGAACCTGTGAATAAGTTGTGCATACATTACGTTTGAATGAGTTTTGAAGATAATTAAATTCCTCTTTGCAAATTTTTTTTTTCATTTTTACACGTAAACATAGTTGGAAATGATAGGAATTCAGAATCTTTTTGCATAAATATACCTAAAGGTTTGTTTCCTTCTTCTGATGCAAAAGTCATTATCTTTTCGACATTTTCAGTTATGTCTGGTTCTTGTAACAGAGCATCTGTGACACCTGAAGTTCTTTCTTCAACTTCACACCATCATCATTACCATTGTCTTTACAGTCAGTCACTAATTGTTCGGTGTTATTATTATGTCTTTGAGTTGCTTCAGAAATAGTAATTTCATGTACAGGATCAGTTGAATGTATTTCAGCATTACCAGTGCTTGAGTGTGAGTTACTAAAGAATTCTTTCCATTCATTACTTTGATTCGCAAGAGCATCATTAGTTCCAGTAGGATTAGTAGGATCTAGTTTTATTCTCGCCCTTGGCAGATTGCATCAGCTGAAAGTCTTTCGCTTGATGTTGTTATATTTCCACCGCTAATGGGGGTCCCAGTACTGTTTTCCTCGAAGTTTCTGAAAATCAGCTGCAATCGAGTGCGATCTCTAATCGCCGAAACACCCAGTGTGTCAATGTGCTCGTCTGTCCACAGGCGGCTCAAGTTCCAGCTGAGAGAAACAACAGTCATGGCGAAATCATGAGTTTGTATGGGAAAGTTTACGACCGTTTTAAGGTACAAAAAAATTAGTCAAATTCTCACAAAAA